CTCTTCCCGGACACTTCTTGGAACGCAGATCAAAGGCAGGGGATGGAAGGAGACGACAGAGGCAGGGGAGAAGAAGATGGAAGAATAACCACAGTAAGAACAGAGCCGGGACTCACTGGACCTTTACTATAAGTGAATTAAGTACATGAACACTAACTTCGAACAGCCCTGGGAAGTAGGGTCTATTATTATCCTATTTTATTAGATGAGGAAACTGATCCCACAGCTGGCACTGCCATTCACTTCGATGCCAGGTGTTTGAAAAATGCCTCCAAGACATGAGTTAAGCAGCCAAGTAGAAAAGTGCAGCCTGTCCGGGAAATGGCATTCCAAGTGGCACAACAGGAGCACGGCATCCTGTGGTCCAGCGCCTCTGTGAGAGCACAGGGACGAGAAATACACGAGCTCTTGCGGGTCCCAGGGTGCCCTTGGCGCTGACCCACCAGCAGAGGTGCCCCCCTCTTCTGAGCAGCTGGGCCCACGGTGGGTTTCCATCCACCTGCATCACTGCCTAACTAACTGGGTGGGGGATCCTGTGCGGCTTTGCCCTTTCAGCATCTCGGATTCTTCTCCGGGTCTTTTTTAGCACATGGCACAGCCAGATCCTTGAGTCCCATCCAGGGATGACAGGGACAACCAGACCTGGATCTCCTCCAGAGATCCCCAATAATGTGTTCCCCCCATTTAACAGTTGACATTTATCACTTTTTGTATACCTACTGTGCATCAGAGACTTGCAGCAGCTGCTGTTTATACACATCATCTCCTGAAACCCTCATCAAGGTACTGTTAATGCCTATCCTGGACGTCCCATGACGAATGAAGTGTCCAAGGCCCCCCACAGTGAAGGGATTTTCCCAAAGGTCAAATGGCCAGCGAGGCCAAAAGTCAAGTCCATGACTAACTGATCGTGTCCAAGTCACCGCGCAGACTTCTCTGAGAGGAGGCCTCTGCTTACTAAGGCCTCAGAGCTCTCTGGATGAGACAGAATTCATTCAACAGATGGGTTAAGACACCATAAAAATGCACCAAATACACAACAGTGAGTAAAATACATCGCCCTGCCCCTGAACAGTTCAGTCTACTTGGGAAGACAGCGTCTAACAAGTAGGAAAACAGGGACCAAGATGGTTTGAACAGGACTGCTGCCATCTTTAAATAAAATGAAAAACCCCTCCCTCAACCGTTCTGCCCCCTTGACCTGCAGACGTATCTGTATTCAACCCTCCACAACCAAACGCCCCGATAGGGTTGCCAGCCCCCTGCCATCTCCATATCCTCTCGTCCCACCCTCTGCTCGCACCCCTGCAGCCTAGATTCTACTCTCTCACTCGATGGAACTGTCCTCTTCTTTGCCACCAAAGTTCAGTGGTTACTTTTACAGTCCTCGCCTTACTTGTGACAAGGAATATATGTATGTTCATGTATAACTGAAAAATTGTTCTCTACACTGGAATTTGACACAACACTGTAAAACGACTATTAACTCAAAAAAGTGTTAAGAAAATAAAAGTAAAATGAATCTTAAAAAAAAAAAAAGTGCTCCCTTGCCGGAACCCAATCAATTCCTTTGAATGAATTACAACATCAAGATAGCTTTTCCATCATCTGTTCCCACCTCCAACACATTCCATCACCACCACTCCGCCTTTTCGCCGGGAAGGAGGATGCTTTTTAAAAGTGACATATTTGTTATGTTTTAAAGCCAAATTTTCTAATTATCAATTTACAGTCATAAACCCTTGTAAATGCAAAATGCTTTCAAATATATGCTCTAATTAGGTCCTTACAACAACCTGTGACAGTTTATATGTTTTCAGCCCCATTTCATACTGAAGTTGTAAGAAATTAAGGGCCTTAACCAAGGTCACTCCTCTGGAAAGTGACAGGGCCAATCTCCATCTTCCGAAGAAAAGTTTACATCCCTTCTGATGCAGCTGAGAGGATGACAGCTTCCCCACCATCCTTCCCGACTCCAAAAAGGGGAAAGAGAACAATGGCACCAGGCCTTTCACAGATTTTATTTCAATCCCCTGACATTCCAGCACAGACTGATGTAAGCGTGGGTCAGCCTGGGTCTCGGTCCTGGAGGACAGTCCTTGCAGAGAGAAGAAAACAGCCAACTTCTGTTTTGATTGTTACATTCACCCAGCAAGGAAGAAAAGAAGGGAAATGTTCCTGGCTGGTGTGGAGAGATCCCTGCCAGTAAACGGGATGGATGCTCTAACTTGCCAAAGACATCCCCCGAGGTCCCATTAACACCATGATGCAGAACCCAAGAGATGCTCAACGCTCTGTAATGCTGTTGACTTCCTGGCAACTTTTGAAAGCAAGATTGTTTCTACTTATGGAGGTGGGGGTGGGACGTTTGAGGATGGCAAAGGAAGACAGGAGGGTCTGGCCGCTGAGGACGGAGTTGCAGGTCGCCCTGGGTGTGCATCACTAAAAGTTTCCCTACATAAGATTTTCCCTCGAGTCCATTTCTTAGCCTCTGGATGAACTCTAGAGTCCCAGACTCACGCAATGCTATCAGTGAAAAGAATGAAATGCGCCCTTCACAACCATTGCCTAGAGCCACGGTGGACGCTGACTGGTGGCTTAGAAGAACAAGAGCAGCAAGAGTGGGAAGGACAACTCATCACATGTTCCTCCAGGACGTCTCATCATCTAAACACGTAGGTAAGATAAGAAAGCCGTGCAACGTGCAACATCCAAGGCCATCCTAACGATCTTGAACATGCGTTCCAACTACCAGGAGTTTACCGCTACTCCAAGCAGAATAAAAAGGTGACACAGACAGCTCCTCTGGTCCCTCCTGACTGAGGACCCACCACCCAGGAACACAGACTGCTTCCGACGCAGCATGATGCATTTACCCCAGGCAGGAGAGAAAATCGGGTGCTCAACCTTCACACAGAAAAAGCTGAGAATTTAGCTTTTTTTTGTTTTCTTGAAGAAAGGAGTAAGTAATTGTCAATAGATTTTCATCCAACTCCGAGATCTTTAGTTCACAACTACTTCCATTACTCTAGAGATTGTAAAAATGTCTTCAAAAGCATCATTAAATGTAAAAGCTGAAATTCATCAGAAAGCCAACTTAGTTTTAGTCTTATCCTAAATTCTCAAGCTGACTAGTGAATTTCACAGAGCTCTGGTGTGGTACCTACCTGAGTGGGCAGGAGATAGAGACCCAAGGAGCCGAGGCATGGAAAACTGAGAGGTCCATCAGCTCCAACACCTAAATTCAGCTCTGCGGCAGCTCAGCCATCTGGAAGAATTCATTTTCTTCCTCCCAAAGCTTCCGACTCTAAGAGCAATGCAGCGTGCTCACCCTCTGTTATCTAAGGGACCAGGGTGATGAAAGGGAAAAGGAATTCTCCCCAAGATCAACATCTGATCACCAGAAATAGGACTGCGCTCGCATTGGAACAATTCTCCACGGCCCCATTGTTCTATTTTCTTCTAATGATGGAAAATCTAATTCCAGGGAAACGCTAATAGCTTCATTATGTGACCATAGCGCTAATCAGTTACGCAGCTAAAGAGTTTGGGGGCTGAGCTATGAGGTATTTTTGGAACAACATCTGATCCCCTGATATAAATCTATTGTTACCAAGTGTAACTAAAACTCTCACCAAATGGAGAATCAAAGGACCTGAGACTAAAAAGATGTCCTCTGGAATCTGCTGGGGTCTGACTCAGGCTGGGGATGTTCAGCCTCACACCCAGTAGGTCCAGTTCAGTGTGGAGTGGGTGCTGGTACAGACTAAAAGGGTGGGAAAAAACCACAGGTGCTTGGAACCATGTTGGGAGTAAACTACAGGACAAGCGCTCAAAAAATTCTAGCAAACCATGGAGGAGGAGTGAGAAGAGCCTAGATCTCTGTCAGTAGGGTGGGCCTATGGAAGGAACCCTTGGTGATGTCAAGGAAGTAAGATTCAACAGTTCTCAGGTGGACGCACCTGCCTACAATGAGAACGGCTTCTGTGCAAAGAACGTGAAGAGGGTCTCCAGGTGCCAGGGAGCCCTGGGCACATCAGGATGCTCGGAATCATGAGGCCGCTACCCGATGCCAACCCACTGGGCAAGAGACTGACACCTCCCATGAAAGGCAGCAGCCACGCAACGTGCAAGTTGGTTCATGAACCCATAAACGAAGTCCCTGTCCCAGGGGACAGCCACACCCCTACAACAGGACTCTCTCTAGCACTCTGTCGTGCAGCCCTGAAGACATCTCACAGGGCAGACTGGGCCACCGCCTCCCCTGACCTGGTGCCATCATCACCCCAGCTCAGTTGTGGCCATGCCACTGCTTTGGGAAAGTGACAGTCCTCAAAACGCTCCCGCAGCTCTGGCATCTTCCCCAGGCTGGAAGACCCGTTTTAAATTTTCATGCCCAAAATTATCCCTACCCTTATGTTCCACAATTACCTTAATCATCCTGTACCTCTGCGTCTTAACAATTACACATAAGAACCACAGAGGTGTTCGATTTAACAATTATTTCATTTCCTGGAGGACTCTTCCTTTCCTCTTAGTAAATTCCTTAGAGCCCTACACCGGCAATAATGATAGTAACAGTGATGATAACGGTAGGAGGCACAGTGGCTCACGGGCATTGAGCGCTTACTCTGCACAGCACTATGCTGAAGGCTTTACACATGTACATTTCCTACACCTTTAAATCACACTGCATCAGCCCTGCAGCATAGGTGCTAGTATTATTTCCATTTTATGGAAGAGGAAACTGAGGCACAATATGCCAGCCTTCATCTTGTCCCCTCACTTTGTGAGGAGGCCCATGCCAAACAGTAAAGCCTCAGGAACCCAAAGTTTACAAGCAGTGTTTGTTCACCGCTGGGAGGGAGCAGTGAGGCGAGGATGTGACTCTTTGGTCTGGGCTTTTGGAAGACGACGCTTGACTTCCTAAGTCACAAAATTCATACAAGACATAGTTATTCTACTATTTTGCTGGGGCACAGGGCACAGCCAGCTCTTACCCTATTGTCTTCTTGGATCTCCCAGTCACTGGAGAAAGTCACCAGCTGCTGCCCTTGGGAACAGTTGGAAAACTGGAAAAGGCTGGAAAACATCCTTCTGTTTTCTTGAGTGTCAGGAAAGATGGCATCTTGGAAATTGACTCCATGAGGCAAGAGGTTATAATTTTCATCCATCCTAATGGAAAAGAGAAAAAAAACAGCTGTAAACTGGACAGGGAAGGGTTGGACCATCTGGAGTCAAGTCAGAGAAGACTGTGACAATGTTGCCAATTACACAATACTACCTCTGCAGAGGAGTTACTATTTTTAAACAACACTGCTTCCCCCTCCCACTGCTTTCAGCAGAGGAGTTACTATTTCTAATGGTTTCTCTGCCTCATCCTGCTTGAGTTCATCCTTAAACGTTTTCAAAATGGGAGCTGGGGGTGAGAGGTGGGGGAGGGTGTGCATGTGTGTTTCTCTATTTGCCAATTTCTCAAGTGGTCTTCCTTCTCATAGAGGGACTGCTCCCTGTTCCTTGGTGAAAGGCAGGCCAGTTTTAATGACCTGGGTCCAAGTCCTGCCATTGCTACATCTCTTCTGTCCGAAACGAAAGGGATTTCTTCAATTCTCTAAGTTTTAGTACTACAGTCTATAAAAAGAGGATGACACTAGCACCTCACTTTGTAGGTGGGTAAGCATCACACAGAAAAAAGTGAAGTTCTGGCAGAGTGAGTGCAGTGTAAAAGTTAACAGTTTTACAGAGCCTGGCATAGAGAGCCCGTTGGTAAGATAAAGAAAAGAAAAACGAGAGACAGGAGTTAGTTTACACTCCAGCCCAAAGGCCAAAGGGGCACGTGGGGCTCACCAGTGAGTCTCCATGGCCCCCCTTCTCCTGTTGACACAGACCGGTATCTGTTCTCTTCTCAGTGGGTGTCAGAAAAGAGAAATGATTTGTATGCAGTTGTCAATATATGTCAGGGCAACACAGCCCCATGAAACAAACCTGTCAGATTACCATTTGACTCTGCATTTCTGCCCTAACATTTTGTAAATATGTCAGAGCAAAAGATGAAAAGAGTTGGCTGACCACCAGAGCCAGTGGACAAAACTGTAGCTCATGATAAAATCAGAAAAGAAAATAATGTTTTCTTAAGTACTCCGGCTCTTCTTTTTCTTTGGAAAATCAGATCTTTTTGTTTAATAGTTTTACCTGGGTTCCCAAAGTTTTCCCTAAAGACATGAAAAATCTAAGTTTCTCTGTATCAAGAAGGTACTGTCTCACTCCTTGCCGACTTTATTTAGAAACTGCACTTCTCCAGCAATTAAAAAAAAAAATCAACTTAATCTAGCCAAACCACCCAAGCCAACACAAAGCATGCCATGTATTCTAAACTTAGTCTGGCTTCACTATGGAAAACATGTGTTGCTGTGAGCTTACGAACGCCCTTCTGTGGAACTTACTGTTTTCTTTCTCAGTCACGTGATCTCAAGAGCTAAAAGTGAGTCTGCAGACCAAGGTCATGGTCATTCCAAATATCCTTAATGCTGCTCCGTGGACTCGGAAAACCAGAGCTATTGCCCATTACAACTCTGGATCCACTCACTCACTATCTTGATAGACGCGCTAGATTCCAAGTCAAGGTTTCTCTCAGTCGTTCTCTCTCCTTCAACTGGAAACAACCAACGCATTTAGGGTTTCATCTGCCGTTTTTTAAATTTCAGTGGAACCCATTGCCTAAATTCTTATCCACACGCATTTCATCTTGACCACAGACCAAATTCCATGGAACCGCACGAGATCCCAGGTGTCTCCAATCAGAGCGGGCCTCCTCCCTAATTCACCTCTTACATTCTTCACAGCGCTGTGACTCAGGGTCTTACCACCCCACCCCAGGCCCCTCCTCCATCAACCTTTGCTATTTGGAACAGCCTGGCATTGAGGTCCGCTGGCAGCTGATACGAGCTAATGTGAGTGAAACAAGAGGACAGCTGGGCTGCATTCCACACCATTCCGATCTTGGCTTTTAAGCAGGTGGGCAAAGGAGAAGGACTATTCAGTCTGCGTCTGACCTGCACCAGGTGTATCGCAGGAGTTACTGGGTTTTCATCACAACCAACCTGGTTTCTCACATTATGAAGGTGAGGCTATTTGAGCTTCCCAAAAAGCTCAGTAACTTGGGGGAAATCACAGGGAAGAGCAGAGCCAGGATTCCAAGAGCAGCCTGATTTCAAAGTGTGTTGGTTTTGTTTGGACCACCACCCAACCCAAACCACTCCCAGAGAAATCCAACTTACAATACAGGGTTCCACCTGCTGTTCTTTAGTTCAAACTTCATTCGAACCCAACCCCTGAATTCTTATCCACAAGCATTTCATCTCGACCAGCTTTCACAGAACTGCACAAGATTCCAGGAGCCTCCAAAAAGAGAAGGCCTCCTGCCTAATTTACCTTTAAAGCACCATGACCAGGGCCTTCCCCTCCTTCCCCCACCCTTAAACCTTTGCTGTTCGGAATAGCCAGGCTACTTGTTGCTAGAAACCACCTTGAGCTTTTGCTTGAAACCCTCTTCTGTCCACCAAACACAAGAATCATCCCTGTTTCCCCAAGTTTAGCCACAGGTACCTAGGCTCTTTGCAGAGACGTCTGGAGGAGTAGGAAGGAATAAAGAGTAAGAGGAGAGAAGAGAAGGTATAGCTCAGTGGTAGAGCGCATGCTAGCATGCATAAGGTCCTGGGTTCAATTCCCAGTACCTCTGTTTAAAAATATAAACAAAGAAACCCAAAATTACTTCCCTTCATTTAAAAAAAAGAAAGGAAAATTTAAAGGAAACGAACACATTTTAAAGTTAAAAACACGAAAAGAGTAAAGTAGGCGGCCCAGCCCCATGGGCAGGATTCCCTGCGAGTCCCTGATCCGGCCCGGGATAAAGGTGACCTTGGCTGGACACGCAAGGGGGTGGTGTGGTCGCGAGGCGGCTGGCTCACCTGAGGAAGAAGAAATAGGAGTAATCCTGGACCACGGTGTGGGAGTGACAGGAGAAGTAGCCCAAGCCGGTGAGGTTGAGCCTGGAGCCCGCCGGCACCTCGAGCATGCTGCCCCACGCCTGGTCGCACAGCATCTCGATCTCGGCCGAGTAGAAGAGCCCCGCGTCGCTGGCCTCGTACTGCCAGGGCAGGTAGTTGTAGAGGCCGGGCACCTCCTGGTGCAGGGCCAGCACCTTGGCGTACACGATGGTCTCGGCCAGCTCCGCGCGGCAGCCCTCGCTCAGCGGTCTCCACTCGGAGGGCAGCTGGCAGCCGCGCG